CACACACACACACACACACACACACACACACACACACACACACACACACACACACACACAGAGGAAGAAAAACAGCCGGAGGCTTGGTTGTGCTTGACGATATCTGTAGTTGGACACCAGTAAAGGCCAACACTTTGTGCTTGGTTACAGTCGTTCACACGGTTATTTACACAGAATTAAACATTTTACAACATTACAGCCATGATACAAAGCAGTTTACATTCACGTTTCAGAAAAGTCAAGCAGCATCCAAATATTAACACGTTCAACAACAAGACTTTTTTTATTTCCATAAACAAAACTTAAAAAAAAAAAACTAACCAAGAGGCAATAAAAACAGTAAAATCAGAAGCAGGAAATGTATAAAAATTAGTGCCATTAACAAAATTTCTCAACATGAAAACTTTAATGCTGTGAGGATGGACAGATGGAAGCAGAGATGTTTGAAACTATTATCTGAAGAGAACTCATCTCATATCTTGAGCCACTAAAACTTGRTTTCTTAATGGTATTTAAAGGTTAAAAGTTATTTTTCTTCATTTTAACATATTTTTACACCTTGAAACAGGTTTTGTTTTCTGAAGATAATATTGGATAAAAGACAGACAACTTGTTTATCTGCCCTCTTGTTAGCATGCTAACTCCGTTATTAGCCACAACTCAGCTGCTTGTCAACACAGCTAATCAGCTAATGGACATTTGATTGGCATGTGGAGAAGACAATTTCTAAAGTTTAAAGCAAGCATCAAAACGGGGATAAAAAAAATCGAGGTGTGGATGTTGTTCTTCTGAAACTGGGATTTCAACGCACAACCATCTCCAGGATTTACAGAGAATGGTCAAAAAAAATCAACAACCAGAGAGCGACCGACCGACTGGGTTGAGATGATGGAAAAACAGCGGCTCAGATAACCACTCGCTCCAACCACAGTCTGCAGAATCCCGTTCGGGCTGGGGTGGAACAGGAGACTCCARTCTCGATGCTATCGTGTTAAAATGTTTCCAACGTCTCGTTGAACCGATGCCACGAAGATTTAAGGCAGTTCTGAAGGAAAACAGAGTCCAGCTCGGTACAGGCAAGCTGGACCTGATAAAGTGGCTGAGATGGACATCACAGTTTGGTGTGTTTTTGGTAAAACCCAGCTTCTCATCCATCTGTTGGAGACAGGAACCAGCTCCTTATGACCCTGAGGATGGATGGATGGATGGATGGATGGATGGATGGATGATGGATGGATGGATGGATGGATGATGGATGGATGGATGGACAAATGGAGTGAAATCCCCCACTGGAAGCTTTAGCTTCAGTCCGGACAGTCAATCAGTAGCAGACAGCTGAAGGGTTGAAACGAGGCCACAGAGACAAATCCCTGCGAGGGAACAGAAGGACTCAGAGTTTTCAGGTCAAAGAGACACGAAGAAAAAAAAACGAAGGGTTTTAGTTCTCGTCCCGGGTGTCTGATCCTCCCTCTCATGTCACAGTTTTGTTCCAGTTATGAACTGCTGGCTTTTTATTTTTATTTATTTTCATCAGAATCAACCTGTTTGAAGCAGAACCTGCTGGTTTAGCTCCTGACAGAAAGACACACAGCTGTGATTACAGTCAGGCAGTTAAATTASAAACTCATAATTATAACCAATAAAATGCTAATCACTTCTGAACAATGAAGTTAATAGAGGGTTAATAGAKTTAATAGAGAAATTATCCATCTGCTGGACTTTTTTTTCTTTTATAGAAGTGATTTAATACGACAGCAGAAAGATTTTATCCCAGGCAAGTTGAGCAGAAGTGTTTTTATCAGCCATGAACTGGTTTAAGCTCAGAAGTCTGGAAGGCCAAAGTACAGAATCATGAGTCATCTGGAAAAGGTGATGATAAAAATAATTAACTCAAACAAATAAAGTCAGTTTTGGGGTTTCATGAATTGCGACTCGAGTAGAAAGATTTCAGACCGCTGATCTGTCTGAGGAATCAAGGGTCCAGAACCAGAGCCTGACCTCCAGACCGAACCAGGTCCAGAAGCTGCTGGATCCAGATTCTGTAGAATAAAAGCTGACTCAGTGGAATCTGTTGCTTTGTTCTCTTCAGGTTCAGTTAGAGTTGATTTAGAACCTGATAAAGACTAGAGCAGGTTTTAAAACACAAAACCCCAGAACTATCAAAAAATAGCCAATTTAAAGGGTTTTACATCGTGACCATTCTTCTTTTCAGTTTTTAATCATTTCCAATCTTTAATTAACTTCTGTAATGAAGTTTGATCAAASGGTCAGAATCAACGATTCAGGCAAACAAACGGTCGATTCTTATCAGGGAGTTAATCAAACTCTCAGGTGTTCTCGTGTTTTTTTAAGAAGCAAAATCAAACGATCAAATTTACAGCCACAGCAAGCAAAGCTAAAAACATGTATAAAAATAATAAACCATAAACCGATCGGTCGATCAAGTGTTTGTTTTTCAGACATTCATATGTTGGCTTCAGCTGATTAGAAGCTAAAATCTTTTGTTTCCATTTTAAATAAATTATTTTACTTTGTCTCTTTTCTTGGCACTTTATTTTTTGATTATAAGAAAAATAACATGTCCATGGTTTCTTCCCTCTGACAGCCACGTTAAACMTTTCTCAGAGCTTTCATCACCCATCATCCACCTTCAACAAGCCACAGCTTCAGATTAGACTTTAATAAGCCACTCRGGGTTAAATGAATGCTTCAGCCTTATCCCAGTTTCTCTTTAAATATTTTTATATTATTCTTCTTTCATCAAAGTGACTCGTTTCCTGTTTTGGCGTCAGATGCAGATGAGTTTTCCTTTAACAGCCGTCCTGGGGGGACGACTCTCTCCAGGTCAGACCCTCAGACACACAGGTTGGACTGTTTGAGGAGTCTTTGAGTCATTCATTCAGCAGCTCCTCTCCATCTTCTCATTCTTCCTGTAATCCAGACTGTCTCCACCTCCTCGTCTATTCTGGGATGTTAGAAACGTTTAAATCCTCCCCGCTGGCTTCCTTCTCATCTGTTGTTGCTATTTTCACTCTTTGTCCTCGTGGAGTTTCTTCTTGGATCTTTTTTCCTCCTCCACCGTTTTCTTCCAGGATCTCACACATCGGTGGCGTTCAAGTGAGCCGACATGGCGTCCTGCGTCTCCAGGACGATCTTCTTTGCCCTGCCTCCCCCAGCACCGCCCCCGCCTCCCTCACCCCCAACCGGATGAATGCTGTCCAGTCGGCCGCCCCGCCCCCTATCCCGCTGACACTTGAAGACGGCGAGGAAGGCGGCGCGGTAGTTGCGGTTCATCCAGCCGTACAGCAGCGGGTTGGCGAAGGTGGAGCACATGGCGATCACGTGGAAGATGGTGTAGAGCAGGTGGAAGTCGCGCATGTCCAGCACGGAGCTGTCGATGTCCGTGGCCAGCTGGAAGGCGTGGAAGGGCAGCCAGCTCACGGCGAACACCACCACCATGGTCACCAGCATCTTGGTGGTTTTGCGGCGCCGGCGGTGCCTCTCGGAGCTGGCGCTGCTGTTGCCGCCGTTCTCCGCGGGGCTGACATGGCCTCGGAGTTTGGACCAGATGCGGGCGTAGGCGAAGGAAATGATGGACAGCGGCAGGAAGTACTGCAGGATCAGCATGGAGATGCTGTAGAGGGTACCGTCTGTGTTTTTGCCGGGCCACTTCTCTGCACAAACCTACGACGAGAGAAGGAAGCAGAGGCTTGGTTCAGTCGGAGGATAAAAGGCTGAATCAGCAGCAAACAACGAGCACAAAAGCAACTTTCTGTTAGAACAAGCAGTGACAAACCAAGATACAGAATGTGTCAGAAAGCAACATATATCTCTGACTGAAGCTCCGCCCCTTTTTGGGTCAATGTCTCCTAGCTGAGAGTAAATCAAACTCCTAAGGTGTTAAAGAAGACTTTGGCTTTGTTTTGAAGTTTTTTGCTGCCAACATGCAACAACTTGTAAAATTATGGAAGCATCATTCTTAGATGTTGTTTTATTTGTTTGATTTTTATAAAATTTAAATTGCAGACAGGCCACAAAACTATAGTTTAAAAATGTTTTAAACTGCAATAAAAAAATAGTCACACTGCTTTTTTAGATCACGTAGAAGAAAAAAGAATGGAACCATTAAACTTTGAGGAAAATAAGAAGAAATTGACGATTTCCAGGGAATTATGTGACAAAGTACACGTAAAATAAAATCTGTTWTTTGACCTAATTTCTATAGAAAAACTAACACAAATCAGTTTTTTTTATAATATTT